CTGTGCGTGCCTGTGGCTCGCTCGGGGCGTGTGGTACGTGCCCGGGATGAGGTTCTGCAATGGACCAGGTCTGCTGTCCTGCTCACGCCGTTTCCTGCCCTCCCGTTTGCCTCAGCACCGACTATCCTCACCGACGTTTCTCCGGAGTCAAAGGTGATGGAGGAGGAAATCTTTGGGCCGGTCCTTCCCATTCTGACCGTGAAGAGCGTGGACGAAGCCATTGAGTTCATCAACGGCCGGGAGAAGCCCCTTGCCCTGTATGTCTTCTCCAACAACAAGAAGGTGGGTCTGGGTTGTGCTCCCTGGCAGAAGCATCTCTGCACAGTTGAAGCCTGAACGTGGCCGGTCCCAGGCACGGCTCCCCGCAGGGCCTGTGTCGTCTCATCTTTGCACGAGTGTCGCAGCGTTTGGCTCATGGAGGCCTCAAGTGTCCCCAGAGCTGCTGGAGCCTCCTGGTCTGCTGAAATGCTTTGCGTTTGCATGGCTGTGAAATAGAAGCATAAAAAGCTAAATTTCCTCTTTGGTGCCATGTAGTCTTTCATGATTCATTTAGTTTAATTTTAATTAATTGCTAGGGAGGTGAGCTTCTAGGTTTCCATCTTTCCCATCTTTCCTCTGAACTTTCCCACTTTCCTTGACTTAATACTGCACGGAGAGGGCTTGTCCGAGTTGTTAGCCAGAGAGTGAACATGATGGCCAGCTGGCTCATAGCTCCCCATCCTGCTCAGTCACATGGTCTGGTCTCTTCTGGGCCTTTGTAATGTTTTGTTTGTTTGTTTTTCTTTTGTCAGTTAATCAAAAGAGTCATCTCGGAAACTTCCAGTGGGGGTGTTACTGGAAATGATGTCATCATGCATTTCTTCCTCTCAACCTTGCCCTTCGGTGGTGTTGGTAAGTCACTGGAGCTCCTTAAGCATTGTGACTTGATGGAAGGTGTGACACAGGACACAGCAGAAGTTGGTTTATGTGCAGGTACCCCTGCACCTGCTACAGCCAAAGGGTCTCTGTGTAGCCGGTTTCAATAACAATAACAAATTCTGGGAGTACATAAGGACAGGGTCCACAAGGGAAAGAACCTTTGAGTGTGTTCTGGGGAAGGTGGAAGCATTTAGTGCAGACTGATGTCAAAGGTGCAATAAAAACATTAGCTGAAATCGGAGTGATTAGCAGTAATTGCAGGAAGAAGGGTAGGACTTCAGCTTGGGGAGGATTGGAACAGGTTACGGAACAGCCTGTGGGAGTTTTGCAGAAGAGTTAAAAGTGTTTACAAGCTGACTGTGAACCAGCAGCGTTCTGCTGTTGCGAATGGCACTTGCTGTCACTGGAACTGAAAAACAGAGGTGTACCCTGCAGGGCTCCTCAGGAAACCTTTCACACATGGCAGCATCAGATCTCAGAGACCTGGCGTGCTGCTTTGAGAGGAAGCTAAATCCAGGGAGGAGCTGGAGACAGCTCCAAGGCATAGGGAACAGCACGTACAAGGACACAACACAGTACTGGAGAGCATGTACTGAAAACAGGGTGGGGAAGAAGGGTACAGAAGTAGTGTGGCAGAGAGGAAGGATCCGTTGTCCTCTCTGCAGGAATAGAGGGGAGAAGTTGTGCTTTTAAACTGTGTAGTGCAGCTGGCAAGCAACTGAAATTTTCCTGTGCTGCTTCTTGCCCTGCTGGTGGCCTCAAGTGGCCAAAGGTGTGACTGGCTGAACTTGTGGTGTGACCTGCCTGGGTTGTGTCCCTCAGGTAACAGTGGGATGGGCGCCTACCACGGCAAGCACAGCTTTGAGACCTTCTCCCACCACCGTGCCTGCTTGATCAAGGACCTGAAGATGGAGGGTACAAACAAACTCCGGTACCCACCTGGCAGCCAGAAGAAGGTGGATTGGGCCAAGTTCTTCCTCTTGAAGCGGTTTAACAAGGGCCGAATTGGACTGGTCATCTTGGCCCTGCTGGGGATTGTGGCAGCGGTGGTGGCAAAGGTGAGTTTTGGGTCTTTGCTATCTGTGTGAGTGCATGTGTGATTCATGGGTCTTCTGCAAGTTCGCTCTTTGCAACTGCAGCCCTTTCTTAGAGCCTGGCCTTTTTTTCTGTCTTGACACTTACCATATCTGGCCCACCTGAAAGTATCAAGATCTGCTTCTCACTCTGGCAAGTGATATCTAGTATAGAAATGTCCTCAGAGACATGTCCTAGGCTGCTGTACTATTTGTTGCTCTGCCTTGGTAGGTGATACCCTCCCTCCAGAGGCAGAGGTTGGTAGATTTTGGACAGGTTAGGAGTGGTTTGAATTCCAAGACTTTCTTCAGCAGCGTTGTGAGCTGTTCCACAGCCTAGCCCAGCCAGCTGTGGCTTTGTGCCATGGCACCCTGGGGAAGGGAGATCCCAAAGTCTATGACAAGCTCTTCCTCACCCAGGTGCAGCCCCCATCTGACCTTAGCTCAATTATTTCCATTTCCTCCCCTGTTTCTGGCTGGGTAGTGTGGAAGGGTGGGGTGTCCTCCCCTCTCTGCCAGAGGCAGAAGCCTGCTGGTGCTGGCTGGAGGACTCGAGATGCCTCCTGAGGTGGAGGGGTAAGATGTAAAACTCCAAGTGTGATCGCTGTTGGTTCTCCGCAGCTGGCGGGCCAGGCACTACATGCGCCTGTGCTGGCTGCTCCTTGCAAGGCTCAACTGTGCGTCCTGGGGGTTTAGTGAGCTTAAGGGAGCAGTGGCTGAGGGGACAGGAGGTGGTGGATCAGGACTCTGCCCTTCAGTCCATTCTGTGCTGTTACTGCTGTGAGGAGACGTGTAGGAGCCCACTAAGCAGGAGGAGATACCCTGCCTGCAAGTTTGAGTCCAGGATGAGGTGTGAGAGCCAGCCAGGGAGGCAGGCCCTGGCTAGGTGAATGCCGTCTCAGCGGTGGGGGGGAAACTCATGGCATCTTGAAATCATTTGGGTTTTCTCAGAATCACCAGTCTGTGCTGAAGAGAAAAGCCCTCTTGATTGTGCTGGCTGTGCAGAGGCTGGGCTGGCTCAGTGTGTGTTAAGGAGCAGCAGGTTTCAGAGCACTGCTGTGGCTGTCGCGGTGAGGTAGGAGCCTTTTTCTTCTCCTGTGTGTAGACCTGGTTTGAGATCGGGCAAAGCCTTTTTAAGAGTGGTGAATGTGGCGATTGCAGGCGGCTTCCCCTGGAGCCAGAGCACGATGCTTTCCCTGGCAGTGCTCGGAGCTCGTACAGCACCCAAGGTAACCAGCCGGTGCATGCTGAGGGGGCAGGAGGCAGGCAAGCTGGACCCTGGGGAAGTCGCCCCGAGTAAGGGGCTGTGCTTCAGGCTGTTCTAGAAAGGGAGGTGGTTTCGTTTCAGCAAATCCTTCACAGGGTGTTGGTGTTGTGTTTTGCTTTCACAGATGGTTTACTACTGAAGAGAGGAGAAGGCGCCATGTGCAAGTCATACTCTGAGTGCTCGCTTTGTGTCTGTTTCCTTAAGCTGAGAAGTCATTTTTTTCTTTTGTACTGGGTTATTTCCATGAGCTGTTGAGCACACAGAGTAGCCTTAGAGAGGCACTAACCACGAGAAGGCCTGACCTCCTGTTTACTAAAAATCCATGCTGAAACAGAGGGACCAGTGGGTACAAGCTCTCAAAAGGAGGACTGCAGAGCAAGAAATACCAGTCCCTACCTCCACCCCATGCCACGCAGAGCGCCGCTTCCAGGGACGCGCACACTGTGTCTTGCACAAAGCTGCTTGCCTTCCTTCGGTGACAAACAGGAGCTGAAGTTTCAGCTGCCGTTGGGTTGAGAGTGTGTTCCCTGCAGTTTTTGGGATGGTCCGTCTTCTGTTGTGCTCCGAACAACCACCCTCTTGGTGACGAGTCTGAGACAGGCTGTGCTGGCTGATGCATTTTACCAATAGCAATGGTTACGAATAAACCTAGTGAGGTTCCCCTTGTCGTTTAATTGAGGTGAAATGTTCATGGATCTCTCTGAACCAGAATCGTCCGCAGCTGGCCAGGGGATGCAGGCTCCTTCATGGGGCTCTGGGTTTCATCATGTGCCCATAACAATTGTTTGGCAGTTAGAAAATTACAAAGATGATACCTGCACTGCCTGTATTTTGCTGATAGGAGTGTCTTATTCTCATAGAAAAGACCTTTCAGGCCTGTTTAGAGTAGCGGGAATCGCAGTACTCTGTTGTGGGTTAGCCCAGGTGGGCATCTGAGTCCACACAACCACTCGCTCGCTCCCTAGTGGGACAGGGAAGAGAATCAGAAGGGTAAAAGCAAGAAAACTTGTAGGTTGAGATAAAGATAGTGTAATAGGTAAAGTGAAATCTGGGCATGCAAGCAAGCAAATTAAGGAATCTGTTCATTACTTCCCCCTCAGCAGGCAGATGTTCAGCCGTCCCCAGGAAGGCAGGGCTTCGTCACACATAGCGGTGACGTGGGAAGGCAAGACACCATAACTCCCAGTGTCCCCCCGTCTTCCTCTTCTGTCCTCCCTCAGCTTTTACAGCTGAGCACAATGTCATGTGGTCTGGAGTATCCCTTTGGTCAGCTGGGGTCAGCTCTCCCAGCCGTGTCCCTTCCCCGCTTCTTGCCGACCCCAGCCTACGCGCTGGTGGGACGGTGTGAGAAATGGAGAGACCTTGACACTGTGCAAGCACTGTTTGGCCACACCACAGGTGTGCTACCAACATTGTTTTGGTCACAAATCCAAAACACAGCATCATCCTACTATGAAGAAACTTAGCAACTATGATGAAAATAAACTCCATCCCAGTCAAAACCAGTACAAACCCGTTCCTGGTCAGATTTCTCCAAGGGAAAACAATTTTTTTTTAAAGAGTGTGTAGTCCTTTGTGTTCAAGCTTCCGGGTCTGCTGTAATCTTGCACTGGGAGATAATAGGGGTCTTGTTCTAGCTTGGGGAGAGGATGCTGGAGAAATTTAAAGTAAAAATTAAAAATTATTATTAAATGCAATTAATATAGGGTAGAAAAATATCTTTACTGTGCAATAGATGGGATTTCTTCATGTCTGGTGAAAATCCATGTGCTAAGCCTTTTTAATGATATATTTTGCAAGTACTAAATAAACACTGAGAATTTAAATAAACCAAGTGTGGTAAGTCCCTGCAGTCTCCTGGGGAATCCTGCCCATCCTCTGCTGCTCCTGGCTCTGGCCATGGCTCGGCCAAACATCACACGTGTGTTGCGAAGTGCCTCTGCCTCCACGCAGGAGCGCGGGTCCCCAGCACGGTGACCTCCCCACTCTTGGGGAAGGATCCCTGTAGCTCTGGCTGGGGAGCACAGGCAGGCTGCCGAAGCGGTGCCCGGAGGCAGGCAGGGCGTGGGGCGAGGCAGCGCTGGGAGCTGTGGAGGAGCTGGACTGTTTTTCCTCCTGTCCTGTGCAAATCCATCTCGAGTGCCTCCCACCTGCAGGAGCTGCCAGCCTGGGGTTTGTTCAGATCCGGACAATAGATAGCACGGGCTGCGTTCGTTGGCTCCCGACGGCTGCTGCTGCAGCACGTGAAAGCGCGCCCCCGGCCTCGTGCGCCCAATGTCAGCAAAGCCACGTGGTGTCTCGCGGTCCCGCATGGGCGGCTGAGTCACTGCCCCAGGCGAACGCAACGATCCAGGGCTTGTGTATTCACAGGGTGGGGATATATCTGAGTAAAGGGCGTCTTGTATCTGGTGAGATCCCTGGGCCCGGGCCAGCTATCCTCGTGGGAGGAGAGATCGCTCCGAGCCGTGCCGGGGAAGGGCTTGCGCCTGCTTGCACTTGCTCCGGGAGACTGGTGGGGAGAGAAGCTGCTCTGAAGGTAACTTTCTTTTTTCCTTCATTTTTTTAATGAGTCATCTGCTTTCTTGGTCAGGATCGGGGCTGTGTCACACAGCTGTGGCAGCAGGCAGGGAAGGGCAGATTTTAACGATAGCGACGGAACCTCGGTGTCTCCTTCGGTTAGGCAGAGACTGAAGGCAGATTTCATCCTGACTAAAAAGTGAAACACTGCCCCTAGGAAGCAGGATGAAACCTCTGCAATGTTTCGTTATCTTTCTGTGATGGCATGCAAGGGCAGTTACAGGGAAGATGGGCACAGGCTGGCTCCGGGCACACAACTGTGCTTCCAGCCTGCTGCCTACCAAGGTCATGGTCATCTCTGTGTTTCGGTTCCTTGGGAACACCCCTGTGAGCAGAGGGCGGTGTGGCTGGTGGGTTTAAGGGTAACCCTGAGTTAGGAGAAAGCACCTGCAGAACAGGATCTATCAGCCATCCCCAGAGATGCTGGGTTGCCGTGAGAGGTGTCCTCTGCTGGTGGACCCTGTGCAGGTAGGGCGGGGCCATAGGAGGATGGGAGCCCTGAGCAGTTGCCTTGGGAGCAGGAGGCTGCCCAAGGAGGAGAACATCTCCCAGCCTTGCTCCAGGTGGGACATCTCTTGGTGGTTGCCCTATGTTGGGCCTGAGCAGCCCTCGATGGCCTCGTAGTGAGCTGGGTCTTGCCGCTCTCTGCCCGCAGCCCTGAGCAGCCATGGAGAAGATGCAGCAGGTCGTCGGGCGGGGGGCCGGTGCCGCTCGCTGGAGTTCAGGATGCAGCAGCTGAAGGCCCTGGAGCGGATGGTGCAGGAGAAGGAGAAGGAGATCCTGGCAGCCATCAAGGCGGATCTGCACAAGGTCTGGGTTGGCAAGGTCTGCGCATGGACAGTGGTCAGCCCTGAGGAAAGAAGCAACCCCAAGGGCTGTCTTTGCCATGCCAGATGACTTGCTGTGTCCGCCATGGTCCTGGATGACATTGCCATGCCTCCCTGGGCTGCCGTGGTGGGTGCAGGAGGT